TCGTTTCAAGCACCAAAAAATTGTCCGGCAAAAGCACCGCATACGTCACGCTTACGTCGAGGCGGGGGCAGGGGTAGGATCAACTTCTGAACAACAACAAAAAGCCGGCGTTTTATCCAGTTTGTACACAACGATGGAGAAACTTAACAAGAGTTTCAGAGTCTCAGTGTTTCTGCCATAGACTGTATATATAAAGGTTTCTGCTCATGGTGAAGCAACGTGTCTGCGTGTTAAGGTGGAACCTGAGCATTCACGTTGATCACCTCTCATTATAACTCATTATAAATCTATAAAACTATAAATATTAAACTTTACTTCACGTGTTCATTTGAAAACAGCTGTTACATACCTGGGTGAAGGTTACAGTTCATTTAAATGAAAGATACAACGTTAATCCACACTCATGGTTCAGTCCACCTTAAGAAATAAGACCGACCTCGGAAGCAGTTGTGTTTTAAAGAAAACTTTATTGACACGAGTGACTCCGGAAAAGCTGCAGATAGAGCCATAAGAAATGAATGCAACTGATTTCATCCGCGCGGTTTGGCTTTATGAAGCAGGCACGCAAACGGTGACGTCATGACGCAAACGATGACGCAATGACGCATTACCAGTCGGACTCTGGGCGGTGTGAAAAGAGCCAGAGCTAAACCGAAGAACCGGTTCTGAACCTGAAAAGCTCTAGCACGGAGCTTGAACCAGAGTTGCGTTGGTGTGAATGAGGTATCAGAGGGGCGTGGGGAAAACAGAGGGGATTATGGGATGCTGCAATGATCTGTTTGGTGTTTGGAGCCAAACACTTCAGAGACATGTTTTGTATATATCTGAGACCTATAATATATTGATGAAAAGAAGTACAATAGGGGACCTTTAAGCAATACATATATTTGCTTTTAAAGTTTAAACAGTTTTAACTCCATCCCCAGTTCAAGACCAACTTTGTGCATTCGACTCAAACTCTGTACGCTTTAGGCTGATTAAGCAGGAGACACTTTAAATGTGCAGTATTTACAGTTGTAAATGTTTATTTACATTTTTATAGCGCATTGAATGTAAAGCTCTCCTGAATATTTGTGTAAAGAAGTATACACAATTTTACACCTTACAAAATTCATTCAAATTATAATGGATGGCACGATTAGTTCTCAGTTGGTGTTAATGTCTGTCTACACACTTTGGTTGAAATACAACATTGCAGTTCTAATATTAAAGCTCTTCTGAAGACTATCAAATGTTTTAGAGGTTTGTTTTGCAACACAAAACCGAGTGCAACGTTTTTTTAGTTTTGAATTTGATTTGCACACATAGAGCTTGTTCATGTTCTGAAACAATCTACTGTTTAATGCACACTTGAATTTCATTTTTCAGGGGATGAGCTTTTGGGAGGCACAATCAATTTCGATCAGTTATCAAAAACGGAGGTGTTAGAAGTGTTGGAGCTGATGAAGCCGTACGATAAGTTCCAAGTACTCACCAGGAACAACATGAGCAAGAGCGTCGGAAACCTGGACGAGATAACAAAGAGTCCTGAGACGGTAGGTAGTCAAGTCAAACAAGAGCTCTTTCATGTTCATTTGATAGAGAATTGTTGCCTTGATGGAAACATTAAACTTACATTCTAATCACCAAGTTGTGGTTTGTATTTCCAGATGTTGAATGATTCTTACAACAAACTCTACAATAACAAAATCAAGAAGTTCATGAAAAGTGAGGAGGAGCTAAGCACCAAGCCAACTGATCCAGGTTCGTCTAAGGTGGGGTTGCCTCGCCTTGGAGTTGACTTTGGACTTATGAAACCCAAGCCTCTGATCACAGACATTGATGATGATTCAGAATCTGATGAAGGTGGAGAACTAACATACAACAGCAATCTGAACCTTCCACCGCTGGGTTTTGGATCCAATGGGACAACTATAAGTGGAGCTCAGGTACCAAGACTGAAAGTTGATGCTAGAGGTCCACAGTTTAACGCTCAAGGCTTCAATGTGTCTGGATCATTACCAGAGGGACAAAATCCTACAGCTGGTATACAACTTCCAAGAAATGGACATTTTAGATCTCCAGAAATGGGAATGGACTTAAAGGGTTTAGATGCTAGTGCCCCTGACATAGGGACTAACCATAGAGGGGGAACAATGACAGGTCCATCCCTTGACTTTGATGCTCCCAAAGTGGGCTTTGAAGGACCAAACAGAATGCCAAAATTCAAACTGCCAGACCTGGGGCTATCTGGACCCTCTTTTAGTAGTTCGGAAGGTGAGGTCAACACACCAGATATAGGAACCTCAGGTAAGCTTGGACTCAGGTATTCCAAGAGACACAAATACCCAGATCTAAATGTGGACAATCCTTCTGGTTATCTAGAGTCACCCAAGCTGAGGCTGTCTGGAAGACCTACTGACTTAGACCTAGAAATGCCAGGTGTAGATGCGTCACAACTTGATGTACATGGGCCAGACATTGACATGCCTTCAGGTAAAGTCAAAGTTCCATTTAAGAAACCAAAGATGAGTCTGAGATCTTCAGATTTGGATGTGGATGACCCCTCAGGCAAGTTTAACAAGCCAAGATCTAAGGTCTTTGGGACATTGCCAAAGCATACAGATGTGGATCTGAATGCAGGGATGAAAACACCCGAACTAGCTCTGAGATCACCAAAGCTAAAAGACATCAATGCACCGGATGTGCGAGGTCCAAAAATGGATCTTAGAGCTCCAAATTTGGACCTCGACTCTCCAGATTTTGACATTGGCTCCCCCAAGGGGAAATTCTCAATGCCAAAGTTTAACATGCCCAGCTTAGACTTTTCAGGTCCAAAAGGAGGAATTGATGCATCTCTGGACAGACCAGACCTGCCATCAGGTAATCTTGATCTAAATGTGTCTAAGCCAGACTTCGACATTGATGCACCTTCACTTGATCTGAAAGGTCCAAGGTCAAATCTAAAAATGCCTGATATTGGAGGTCCAAGTTTTAATATGCCAGATTTTGGATTGTCAGGACCAAAGCTAAAAGGGCCTGATGGTAAACTAAGGACTCCTGACTTTGATCTCACAGCCCCTAAATGTAAGGGCGCTATTGGCTCTCCAGATTTTAATTTGCCCAAGATGGACCTTAATAAACCCAAACTAGGTATTTCTGGCCCAGACGTCGACTTTGATATGCCCTCGGGTAAATTCAAAGTACCAGCAATGAAGAAACCAAATATTAACTTGAATGCTCCTGACATGCATATTAATGCTCCCAAGTTTGATATGAACACTCCAGATGTCAACATCGGTTCACCCAAAGCAAATTTAAATATGCCAAAATTTAAGATGCCCAAATTTGGTCTTCCAAGCCTGAAAAGACCTGAGATCGATGGCAATTTGGATGGTCCAGACTTCGATATCAATGCACCTAATATCAATCTTAAAGGTCCAAAAGCGGACCTGAAAACACCTGATATGGATATATCTGGTGCTAACCTTCGTGGTGGCTTTAATGCACCAGACTTAAACATGCCAAAGGTTGACCTTAACACCCCGAAACTGAACTTAGACATGCCATCAGGTAAACTGAAAATGCCAGAGCTTCATGCTCCAGACTGGGATGTAAATGCTCCCTCAGGCAAAATGAAAATGCCTAAATTCAATCTTTCAGGTACACTACCAAAGGGACCAAATCTGGACATTGACACTGATCTGAATGCTCCAAAGATGAAGGGTGGATTTGATGCTCCTGACTTGAACTTACCAAAAATGAACCTTAAAGCTCCTAGGTTAGATGTAAATACGCCAGATGTAAACATTGGTTCACCCAAAGCAAAATTTAAAATGCCCAAATTCAAAATGCCCAAATTTGGTAAACCAAGCCTCAAAGGACCTGAGATTGGCGGACACTTTGATGGCCCAGATCTTGATGTTAATGTACCCAATGTCAACCTCAAAGGTCCTAAAGCTGACATGGAAATGCCAGATCTTGATATATCTGGTCCATCTGGAAAATTCAAAAAGCCACATTTTAACATGCCAAATGTTGGGCTTTCTGGTCCAAAGTTGGATGGCCCTAACCTGGGCCTGAACACACCTGATCTTGATATATCTGGTCCTAACTTCAGTGGAGGTTTAAATGCACCAGACATGAACATGCCCAAGATTGACTTCAACACCCCAAAACTGAACATGCCATCAGGTAAACTGAAAATGCCAGAGCTAAATTCTCCAGACTGGGACATTAATGCTCCCTCCGGCAAAATGAAAATGCCTAAATTCGACCTTTCAGGCAAATTACCAAAAGGACCAAATATGGACTTTAAAGCTCCCAAAATAGACATGAACACTCCAGATATCAACATTGGTTCACCTAAAGCAAAGCTGAAAATGCCCAAATTAAAAATGCCTAAAATGAATCTACCAAGCCTAAAAGGACCTGATATTGATGGAAACTTTGATGGCCCAGACATTGATATCAATGCACCAGATGTCAACCTAAAAGCGCCCAAAACTGACTTTGAAATGCCGGATGTTGGTTTTGGGAGCCCATCTGGACATTTCAGAAAGCCAAATTTGAAAATGCCCGATGTGGGATTTTCCAGTCGAGAGTTTGATGGCCCAGACTTCGACTTTGAATCACCAGATCTTAATGCCAGATTACCAAAGGTTCCAAATTTGAACATAAATTCGGGCCTAAAAACTCCAGATCTTAATCTCAAATCTCCAAAATTGAAAGGTGGAATCAATGTTCCCAAATTCGGATTGCCAAACATGGACCTTAAGGCTCCAAAGTTTGATATGGACACTCCAGATCTCAACATTGGTTTACCTGATGCAAAGTTCAAAACGCCCCAAATCAAGGTGCCAAAGGGCCCCAATGTTGACATAAACGGAAGCATACCTGACCTGAATATCCCAAATGTAGATGTCAGCGGTCCAAATGGAACATTTAAAATGCCAAGTTTAAACACACCAGACATTAATCTTTCAGGACCTAAACTGAAAGGCCCTGGTATTAATATGCCAGACTTAAATCTGCCTGATACCAGTTTTAATGCAATGCGTCCTGATCTAGGAATAGATGGTAACATAGGCCGACCTGACATGAACTTCAATGCCCCGAATTTCAAAGGAAGACTAAGTGGCCCAGACGTTGACATGAACATGCCCTCAGGAAACATCCAGGGTCCTCAGACTGATTTTGATATGGAAGGCAGAAAATTCAAACTTCCTTCTTTCAAGCTGCCTCAGTTTGGAGGTCCAGATCTTAACAGGGAAGGGTGCGATATTGACTTTGATGCATCTCTGAGATCCCCCCTGAATACAAAAATGAACATGAAACCACAACAGTTGATTGGGGATTTCACAGGCCCAAATGTTAGCTCCCCAAACATGCCGAAAGTGGCAATGCGGAATCCCCAAATGCATCTCAAATCTCCAGATTTTAACATGGATGATCCTTCGCTAAACTTCGGAGGACCTTCTAATATGAATCTCAGATCAGATATCCCAGACATGAGAATGCCTGCACTGGATATAGATGGAGATGTCAGACTTCATCACAATGATAGACAGCTTCCAAGGAACCAAGTTAGGTCCAGCTTCCCTATGGTGGACGCTGGTTTTAACCCCCAGTTTGATTACAATCGTTCAGATCTCAACATTGATGATTTCACGGGAAAAGATCATGTACTTAGAGCCAGAGGTTTGAGATTGGACGGCCAGACACAAGGCAACCATGGACAGGCAATGTTCCCGTCAGGTATTAATCTTGACATGAGGGACCCCAGACAAACCAGCAGAGTTCCTTCTGGTGACATTCAAAGGCCTAGATCAATGCAGCAGGTACCTAACGCACATATGCAACAGTTCTCTCAGGATCCAAGGTCAATGCAACAGATACCTAACGCACATATGCCACAGTTCTCTCAGGATCCAAGGTCAATGCAACAGTTACCTAACGCACGTATGCCACAGTTCTCTCAGGATCCAAGGTCAATGCAACAGTTACCTAACGCACGTATGCCACAGTTCTCTCAGGATCCAAGGTCAATGCAACAGTTACCTAACGCACGTATGCCACAGTTCTCTCAGGATCCAAGGTCAATGCAACAGGTAGCTAATGCACGTATGCCACAGTTCTCTCAGGACCCAAGATCAATGCAACAGTTAGCTAATGCACGTATGCCACAGTTCTCTCAGGACCCAAGATCAATGCAACAGGTAGCTAATGCACGTATGCCACAGTTCTCTCAGGACCCAAGATCAATGCAACAGTTAGCTAATGTACGCTTGCAAAATCTCTCTCAAGATCCAAGATTAATGCAGCAGGTACCTAACGCACGTTTGTCACAGTTCACTCAAAATCCAAGATCCATGCAGCAGGTACCTAACGCACGTTTGCAAAATGTCTCTCAGGATCAAAGATCAATGCAGCAGGTACCTAACGCACGTTTGCAAAACGTCTATCAGGACCAAAGATCAATGCAGCAACTACATCACACACGTATGCCACAGTTCTCTCCAGATCAGAGAATAAGAGTACCTGACGGTTCAGACGGATACTACGTCACTAGTTTCCCGAACCAACCACAAAATCAAAGAATGCCAAATCGCAAATATAACACTCTCGGGGGGCCTAACTTTCGTCCACGAAACGTAGACCTAGAAGTTCTCGGACAAAATGACGTAAAAGGGGGGTCAACTTTCTTTTTTTCCAACCTCATATAAGTTTAAAAAAACTGGTGTTTTCATAAGCTGTTACACATATTTCTATTGTGTATTATTTTTGTATATTGGGGTTTATTTATTGTGAGTTCAGCTGTTGATTGTATGATGTATGCATATGTAAACATTTACACTTTTTTTTGCATAATTTACGTTTTTTATTTGTGTATAAAGCCAATATAGGTGCTTTGTAATGATCCAGTTTACATTACACTACAGCATCCTTGCACTTGTTTTATGTTGACGTTTTGTACACCTTTTCTTATTTGTACTATGTTTGTACTTTTACCTGAAAATCAGGTGGTCTTTCCATGTACATTGAGTTGAATGAGGCTCCTTGAATCCTAACAATTCCCACCTTTTTTTTCATGTTAGATTTTGAAACTCAAGGAGCAATTTATGGATTTCTGGGAACTATTTTAAGATCAAATGTTATAGGTTTTTTATATATTAACAACGAGATATTGAAATAACCAAAGATGTGCATATGTTTATATTATACAGTAAATACTTTATTTTGTATTGATTGGGGATGTATATAGTTGAGTTTATAGAATTTGTATGACCATTTTTTGTTCGACAGAGTTTTTGCTTTAAGGTTTCTGAGCATAACTATAACAAATGTTAATGACAATTATTCAAGATGCCTTTATATGCTAAAATGTAAAAAACGGACCTAAGCCATTTTATAAGTGACCATGAAGCTATTAAATGTGTTACAATGTATCCACCCTTCATCATTTTGTTATATTCTTCAACTTCTTCTTCTTCTTCTTATTATTTCAGTTGTTCCATACTTGTTGTTGTCCTCTTACTACTGTACTTCAACATACTTTCAGATATTGAAAACCATTCAAACATTAAACTGTTCAGCTCCTTCAGGACATGTGTAAATATTCTGCTTTTGAAACTCTTTTTTTTATAATGCAACTCAATGGGAGGAACCTTCAAATCCTCTTTTACCTACACCATGTGAAAAATGCTACTCCTTCCACATACTTTCAGCTGTAGAGACTTCCTTCCAACTTCAAAATGTGACATATCTTTCTGACATTATCTGTATTACAACACTTTTAAATCAGATTTATAGTTTTTGAAATATTAAACAGTTTGGAGCTTGGTAAAGAGGCCTTCTTCAGATTTTAACATAAGTGTGTATTGCGCCGCTCGTTAAATCTAGAGTGCTTTGATCTCAAAACAGAGTGGAGGAGAGCCTGAAATTCGCCGACACATTTATTTTTTAAACCTACGTTTTGTCCTTACGTTTAGTCCTTCTGCATCACCTTGTGGTCATTTTGCATACATTTGTAGTCCTTTCGCATCACATTGTAATCATTTTTCATCAATTATTAGTCTTAGATAAATGTTAATCTAGAATGAAACATATTTCAGTGCCAAATTTAATTTCATACTTTCAAAAAGCTCCATCCCAAATAACTCAACATTGTATTTAAGTACAGAACTCGAGTAAATGTAGTATAAACACACCCATACAACACAAGATCAGCAAAAATATACTTTTTAATCCGCTTAATGTTTTTTTCTGTAAATGTGTGAATTTTATCTCAGAGTTTTTAATAAACACTTTAATCTCAGAGAATGTTTTCCTTTTTGACGGTAAATGTAAAACTTTAATCTCGTAAAATCAAACCTGTGTCTGTGTGTGTGAGTTTGGGTTGTTGTTTCAGTGTTTATTCAGATACAATTACACACAGATGATCCTTAAATAAAAAAACTCTTTCCAGAGTTAATGGGGAGTAGAAACATTTCCTCTGTGATCCCCGCTCCTCCCTTCCGGTTTTTCTTCCAGAATCATCCTGGTTTCCTGTCGGTCTTAATCTGCACGTTTCTAGATCTGACCTCAGTCCAACAACCGCATTACCGTATTATTTAGTCCCAACAGAGAGGTGTAGGGAGGACCTATTTCTGTGTTGGACCCTGAAGGCAGCATATTATGCTTAACAGCGGTGTGTTATCGAGTATTAATAATCTCTGAACTGTCCGAAACGATCAATCAGAATCTAGTATTCAACTCACTCGTGTAATAAAGTTTATTAATATATAAATCCCTTACACATCCCTAAGAACTCTTCATCCCTGGCCAGCAGATAACTCCCAGCACCATACTTAGTTTGATCCGTCTGCTACATTGTACTTACAACTACATGCAGTGCATACTTTTGAGAATTTCAAATGTATTCTTGTCTGTTCTATAGTGTGCAGTGGCGGTTCTAGACCAATTTGACTGGGGGGGCCACTGGGGGGCCAGTTATTTTCTGAGGGGGGCACAATAAATGCAGGACGAAAAAGAGAACTAGACAGTATGAAGTAATTGCGCATAAGAAAACAATGCAATACAGTTATTGGTATTTGTTTCAGTACACTTATTTATTTCAGATATATCTTATAGTTATTACTGTTAGCTTCAGCTTAAGTTATAGTACAATTTTTGCACTAACACCATATCATATTTATATAAAAATAAAGTCAATGACCAGTTACATCTCTACTTTACATCTACAATTACACAGATACAATAGTTTAACTCACATTCAATTATCGTGGTAGTCCCTCGAAACGTAGGTTTCAATCAGTCTTTCTTGGATGCAACAGCCTCTGATGATCCGAGATGAAAAGTGTTTGTTTTTGGGATAGACAGTGAAAGTCAGTGCACCGCTCTAATGGGTTCTGAGTGCACCGCTCTAATGGGTCCAACTAGAATGACGAATAATGTTAGTTCCGCCTATTCCGTCATTCAATAAATCGTGTAATGAATCATACATTTTTCATTTTTTTCACTTTTTTCAC